AGCTCTTAACCAACTGAGCCACTCGGCCGGCCCCAAGAACACCTACTTTGAAAACAAGAAGATCTCAGGACAATTTCACATGTAAACCCCCCCCCCAAAAAAGTAATAAACACAAGGCACTTACGAGGAAAGTTGTACTTAAAGCAGGTCTGTGCCGCAATCATCCATTCGGCCCTGGTCTCACAGAAAATAGCAATAGTGCTCTTTGGTTTTAATCCCAATGCAGTGAGTCCACTACCAAAGTTATTCACTCTGAGGTTCACTTCAAGATAGTTCATCCATTTGTAAGTCCCAAGAATTAACTGTTAAAGTGAGACATTCTCTAATATTAGTATATGTATTCAAAGAAGCAATTAGAATACTATACAAAGTACACAACTCTAAAATTTCCCTTAAGCGAATATACAGAAGCTATGGGCACCCTCTGAGAATTAGTTACACAGCACTCCAATACAATGCAAGGATGTCTAAAATGCACTTGATTTATAATAAAGTGTACCCTCCCCTTAAAAAAATAAAAAGTGCAAAAATGCTTTACCTTCTTGAAAACCTTTCCATTTGGCTGCATTTCATTTTCTTCACTTAGGATTTCCCTGGTCCCAAGGCTGTCCTTCTTCCCAAACTTGGATACAGCATGATCAAATAATTTATCCAGAGTGTCTGCCCCAGGAATGTCTATGACAGCTAGGGAGTCGAAGTGTGTGACAGAGCGATATGGACTTCCGGGTTTGTCTGAAGTGGGCTTAGCTTTTATTCTCTTTGCCATAGCGTTTTTCTTCTTGGCATTGGTAAGAAAATACCATGGAATAAATATAAGGGCACTGTATATTGTTATTAACAAGTGGACAGGCAGCAAAATAATGGTGGGCACATTTAGCTTAAGTTTCATAGCGGCAAGGCTTCTACAATGGTGTTTATCTCTTGTTATTCTTTGGCTTCAGAAAGCCTTATTTTGCTGAAGAAGGCAATAATGGAAGCAGCAGTAAGAGCAGCAGTATAGCCAAGGCAGTTCAATTTTAACGATACAGATAAAAGTTAGTAATCTTTGGAAGCCGACAATAAAGTACACCTGTAGGTGAAGACAATGAACCAGGCAGAGAGCAGGAGAAAAAAAACAAAAACAAAAAGTATTAACAAGTTGACAGCACCACTGATTTAAATACTTAGGTCTTTATTAGTTTATATCATTGATTTGCTGCAGAAAGCTGAAATAACTGGTCTGAAATATTGGCACTTTCCATTTTTTAATCATTATTGCCATAAACTTCTGAATTTAATCTTTTCTAGGTTTTTAGGTATACTGCTACTCTGCACATCATTCTGTAAGTCAGCTGAGTAACAGTACTTTGAATATTTACACGAATGCATGACTATGATATTTAAGTTTGGCTAAACTTTGGGAGAGTAGGGAATGCCAATAATGAGGTTTCTCTTAATATGTATGCATATGTAAACCAGACAGCTTTAAAACAGATTGGTTTTGTATCCAAAAGGGAAAACCAACCCACCAATTTAGGTTTATTTCTCAAAGATCAACACAGAAATATTATTCTGAGTTCTTCATGAAGGTAAAATTCTGAGGTAATGCTATTCAATATCTCCTATCCTCACAATTGGAGAATATAATCATAAGACCATTTCCTAAATGTCCACTTTGTGCTCAAAATTGTACCAGTTGCCTGCGAGTATTACACCGGAAGTAGTGTAAGTCCTGGCCCCTGCCCACTACAAGTTAACACTTCTGAGGTAATCAGCACACAGCATAGACCCAGTGGTTTTCAAACTCTTTTTGAGGCGAGGACGGCAGCTAAACCATTTCTTCAAATAAAAACCCACGCAGAGTGCCCATATATAAAACTAAAGTGGAATTACTCTGGCTGAAGCAAGGATTGTGGGTGTCCAGGGTCCCACCCTGGACTTCCTAGAACCACACTTCCAAGGTGACCACTGAAGCATTTCTAATGAAAAGCCCTGCAGAAATACATAACTAAGTATTATGGTGTGTAAGACAAGCAATAAATGCAATAGGAGACCACAGAAAGCGTTCACTGGCCAAGAGTAACTAAGGGAGGCTCTGTGGAGCTTAGATTTAAAAGCTGGACCTTATGTTGAGGACCTGGAAAGGAAGGAGAAAGAATGGAGGGCATTTCCAGAAGGAGAGCCACATGAAGAAAGACAGAGATAGGAATGAAAGGACTTTGGGAGAGCAGATAGTCCCAATAACGACACTGGCCTGACTGGGACATAGAGTACTCATTGCCTAATAGGCTACAGTAGTACAGGATCTGACAAACCAGGCAAAGCAGCTTTGATTTGAATCAGCAGAAAACTGGAGGCCGCTGCAGGTCAGAAGAACAGTGCTATTTGGAAAGGAACTGCAGAAACAGCCTCAGGGATACTATTGCTCAGGGAGTGTACCTTCAGCTGAGAAAGCTATTCTGGTAAGTGGAGGCGATTTTCAACCATAAAAATTAAAATACTAGTTCACTTTGAGGAGATAAATTGAAGCCCATCCTTCTGCAAGTCGTGTAGAAATAGATAGGCCGACTATTGACCCCTAGATAGTGTTTGTTTTCACACCAACTACTATACAATGGCAGCTTAATCCTGCCTCTGCTTTTGTTCATGTCCTTCAACCGAGTGTGGTGAAATGAGCAAGAAGCCACAAGTGAAAAGACCTATGTTTCAGTTCCCATCTGTCACTAACTGGCTACGTAACCATGAGCAAAACCGTCTATCTGAGCTTAAGATCAGACTACATCAATAGCCCTTCACTTCTTAAGAGGTGATGGGCCCATTTGAGAGGCCATTGAGAACTACAAACCGAATTCCACTCAGAAAGATATGCAAAACATTACACATAATTTCAGGGGATTCACAGGTTGCCTGAAATGTATCCATGAATCCCAAAGGGTGATACCAACTGTGAACTACAAATTTCTGGCCTACATGGTTTCCCGGGGCCTTTCCAACTTCAAATTTTATGATTTACCCTACCTAGAAGTTGCTTTCTCAGTCTAACAAGTCCAGTCATTTATTTCTTCAAGATAAGGCATGTCAAGTGTCTATCACAGTGTCTGGTCCTTGATATGCAAGATCCCCTCTAACCATCCTCTCCTCCAACAGACATTTCATGACTACACAACTCCACAAATCTTTCCTTTCTCTAATTTCCTCCATCACTTGAAACGTCTACACTCATTCTGACCTTTGATTATTCCATCATTTCCAAACATGTAAGCATATAAGCATAGAGCACAGTCCAGTAGTTCTCAACCCTATCAAACCTAAGCCCTCTTTCTTAAACAAATATTTTATAATACTCCTTTATAAACCTTAAAGGATAGTCAAAGATAATAACCTACCTACACACATATTTTTTTAAATGAGTGCCAAAAAGAAATTATTTCAAAATAAAATAATACTTATTTCAACATATAAATTCTCAGGGACAATACTAGAAGAAAAACATCTTCAAATTGATAAAATGCCCCTAAGGGATGAGTACCACTTCACCTTCACTTGAGAAATTGTCAGATTTAGGGCTGAAGATATACAGAAGTAGAAGATAGCTTTTGAAGGGCTTTATAATCTAGGTGGATTTAAACTGTATGGTATGTTTTTTAGTCATTAACTTAATCTTGTCATACACACTTAATCTTTTACATATATTTGCCATAGCCTTAGAGAGAAATATCTTCTACTTAATCCTCACAGCATAAAGACACATACATGTATAATATATACGCATACACACACACAGTAGACAAGGCCTGAAGAACATTCAGATGAGGAGAGATCAGGGAAGATCATTGAGTCCAGAGGTTTTCAAATTCTTTCTGGTGGTGGTGAGGGTCATCTATTTGAATAAAATCTTATATGGACATGGAAACCCTAGATTAAAAAAAAAAGCAGAGTTGCTTTGGTAGGGGAGCTGTGACAGCCCCTGAAGGGACTCCTTGGAACCTCCAGTTGAGCTGAATATTTAAACCACTGGTGTTGTGTGATCCCCTATTTCACAGAGGAGCAAATGAGGAACAGTGCAAATTGTAACTGAGGTCCACGCCCCCAAGTCCGGTGCTGTTTCAAGCCTACCAGCCAGCTTCTGCCCATTTTTGCCTATCACCTGAAAATCCTTCCTTGTCCAAGGTTTTCCAAGGTTACACTCATGTCTATCGACAAATTCATTGAGGGGAAAAAAAAGATTTGAACATCTACTATGTATAAATTTTGAGCACTTACTACAAATGAGTAAAGCAGGCCCTGAATTCTTTATATGCATGCATGCATGTACACATGTGTCATATATACGGTAGGGATATCAGTTCACAAATATATAAGATAGAATATGATAAATCCCATAAGAGAAGCAAAACCAAAATGCTAAAGGTATTCTATTCAAAACGGGGCGGGGAGAAACTGCATCCAGTTTCAGGGAAAAGAGGAAAGAGGGAGGAAGTAGAACCATCTAGAAAAGTTTCACAACAACAACGTAGCATTTGGGCCGGTGTGAAGGATGCATATGTTTTCAAAAGGAGAGGGTGAAGCCTGGGAAATGAGGACAGTCCTATCGGAGAACAAGTGGAGAGCAAATGGATGTGGGCAGAACAGTGCAGGATGGATCTGAACAACAGAAAGCAGTGCCGCAGGCGCTCTGTGCTCTCTCTGTAAAGTGCCCATCCAAGTCAAGGAGAAAACTGAATTATTTCAGGGTCAACTGTACTAGATTGCAGCTATGCTCTAAGGGACACATGCATATGACGATTTGGTGACTCAAGATTAAACACCCTGCTTTTATATCACAGGGAAATGCATTGTTCTCTAAAGAAAAGAATGTCTGATATCCTGGGTGATAAGTGGGTGAAACTAAGTTAGGAGATATAGGTTCTAACCTGTGTCTGCTATGAAATGTGATTTTGAACAAGTTACATGGCCTCGAACTAAAAAGCTCTGTATCAGTGGCATCACGTGTGAAACAGGAATACTGCTTGTGGTAGCTATGGTATTGTTGGGAGAATCCTTCATCTTATCCAGCTTAAATTCCAAGGGCAATAGTAATAATCAGTCTGTGCAATACACGCTCAGCCCTTTCGCCTCTCTCTCACTTTGTTGTGCTTACTCGGCTAAACCATGACCTGGTTAAACCCAATTCTCCATCCAATCTGCACTTGTGCTCACACAGCTAAATTTGGCTGGAGAAAAACCTGACTGTGCTACATGTCCCCTGAAATCCGTGATCTCTCCCTCAAGGGGGCCATACTGCACTGCACTAGTCCATGTACTGGCCCGCTCTCCTGGGTTTTGTACCTTCTCTCTCCCCAGACCAGCAATACTCTAGTTAGCTGCTGACATCACTTACTATTTTGCTGAGAAAACTGAAAAAATCTGAAGAGAACTTCCACACATTCCCACTGCTGTGTCTACCCACCTACTGGCATCTGTGGTCACATGCTCTTTCCACTCCTGTGACAATGGCTGAACTGAACTGGTGATGATCCCAGCTAAGGGCAAGCCCTTCACTAATGCACAGGGGCACCTTGTCTATACAGGAAGGACCTGGCGGTGCTGCTCTACCAATTCTCCCCCCTCTCCTGCCTCATTAATGTTTCCTGCTCTACTGCGTTATTCCTATCAGCATCTCAATGGGCTGTGATTTCTTTCATCTTAAAAACCATTCTCTGAGAGCGGATGGAGGCCAAACTGGGAAGCAGCAAGCCAATACGCCCTGCTAAGAACTTGCTGGTGAACCACTGAATTCTGTAATCAAGGGAGTAACATTATCAGATTTGTTATAAAAATCAGTCTGAGAGCTAAAACAACAACAACAAAAAACCAAAACCAACACACACACACACACACACACACACACACATCCCTTCTCTTGCACCTTCTTCTCTGGCTACAGCTCCATTTCTTCTCCTCTTTAGGACTCCTTAAAAGAATTGTCTGTGCTGTCTCCCAGTTCTCCTATTTTCTCTCAAACCCATGACACTCAGGCTTTTGCCCCCCACCACTCTCCCAAATTGCTGTGATCAAAGTCACCAATGACTTCCATGCTGTCAGGTCCCA